ATATATATATTATAAAACTAAAATTTCAAACAAAGTTGAAATCCACTTTTGGCAATTTAGGTTTCCATTAGAGAGTGTAAGCCTTATAATTCGTTTTGTTTGACAAAGGGGCCAATCCTATTACTATGACCACCCGTTCAGATGAATTCTTAGACTTCTCCAACATACCTAGGTTTTGACCCTTAATGGATCTTACTGATTGGCATATCAAAGACAAACCAATCCAACACCTAGTGCAGTACCATAATCAAGTCTAGGTGTTATGTGTAACTTTTCAATTTTGCCCATCAATCTCCAAGGTACAGGGCATAACTGAAAAATGGTCTAAGTTCAGTGAATCTTACTGATTGGCATATCAAAGACAACACAATCCAACACCTAGTGCAGTACCATAATCAAGTCTAGGTGTTATGTGTAAGTTTCCAATTTTGCCTATCAATCTCCAATGTATAGGGCATAACCGAAAAATGGTCAATGTTTAGTGTTTCAACCAAACACACACTGCATGTGCTTTGGGTCTAACCCTATAAGTTGAGACAAGCTGCCCAAACTTCTTTGGCAGCACATCAGTGGTAGCCTTTGTAGGATAAACTCACTAAGTCTATCCAATGGCTGAGAATATTGTAATTTAACACGAATCTCATAAGTGTTCAGTTTAAGAGATAATTTCACAGAAGCATACCAATATCAACATAAAACAATAATGAACTTTTATTCATTTACAATAAATGTATATGCACATCAATTTGATTAGAGCTAAGGGCATACACTTTCTAACAATTATTACATCTTTTGCATGGTATATGAACACTTCTCTTGCTTTTGTATTACACAGTTTAAAGAAAAGTGAATGAACTCTTTATCTCCAATGTGTGTCCCCTAACCCTAACCAATCTAGTTAGAAATCAAGCTTTTGATCGTTCTCTTCTCTTTCTTCATCTCTCACACATTTTTTTCTGATTATTCGAAACTCTACAATTGTTGCTGCTGCTAGTTGGTCTTACCCAACCATGAAAATTTTAGAGTGAGACAGTTTATCCCCATTTATATATGTAGAATGTAATGGCCCAACATATACTAAAAAAAAAAGAGAAACAAACTTAGTTTTGCAGCTACATAACTTAAGAAAATAGGGAGAGTTTCTTGCTTGCCACATATGGAAAAGATATGATATCCGAAAAATTAACTGACCAATTTATGAAAGTATGCTTCTTTTGCCTTTTATTTATGAAATTATATATGCTTTCACTATTGATGTATGTATTTATGAAGGAATCATATGACGGTGATTTTATTGGGACGGGTCCCATCTTAGATGAGACTGAACTCCACCAATGTACAAGGGAGGGCAGACGAATCACCTTTAAGTGATAATTCCATAAGAAGAGGTATGTTGTCCAATAGAATGGAATAATTCCTAATTCTTAACCCCATTAGGCTACATAAAGTCCTTAAGTTACTGACCCCATATGACTCCATGGATGTGCCTACATACACAAAAGTGGGTCACATCTTTTCTAGTGTGGTATCTGATTCCTTTGCATTTAAGATTTTAATCATACAATTGTCCTCTATGAGAGAGAGAGAATGAAACTCATCACTGAATTATAATCAATTAGTTGCATTAAGTGTGAACTCCAAACATGTATTTTATCACTTTTACTCTTTTGTCCAGTGAGGTATTGCTCAATGCCCACAGACTCGGTAAGGACTAGGAAAATAGAAATTTTCAGAAAGTAATCAGTATTCCTTTGACAAGAAACATCCCACTGTAATTTATCCTTTTCTTTTGCTTTGGTTGAGTATGAATCATTACAGCCATTTTTTCACACATTTAAACCACTCTCTCACGTACACCAAGAAAACAATTAAAAAAGGGCAAAGTCCATCAGATAGCATCAGCACATGTGGTAATAAAGCTTTATTCTAGTATCAATTCGACTCCTACAGATGGGGCATGATAGAAGAAGTCCTTGTCCACACTGAGAACATGTCTGCCAACATAAAAATTTAGAACATTTCAGTACAGACTCCTCCCTTTATTCTCTCCTCAACTCAACCTCAACCCTAGCAATAACTTAGAGAAAATAACCAAACTGCATTACCTGATGCCCACAACCAAAGGCCAGGTCTTTTGAATTAGTAAGGCAGATAGGACAAAGCTGTTCAGGTTTAATTTTGTTGTTGGGGTTGGGGAGGAAAACATATTAATAATCTTGAAATAGTTCCTAAATTAAGAACAATGAGTAGAGGAAACTAATTAATTAAAAACTGATTAATTAGTATCATATTTCTCAAAAATAAGTTAAAAAGGAAATAGAATTTCAAGTAATTATTTGAGTACCAAGAGATTAATAGAATTTCTTATGCTATCTGGAACAGGAAGAGGTGGGCGAAGAGGGGCCCTAATTTGAGCTTGCAATTTTTGGTGACTGCTTTAACATGAGGAAAAGAAAAAAGAAAAAGTAAGGAATATGTAGTTAGCATTTAAGCCTCAGAATATGTAAGTATCCATACAAAAATAATGGAAATATTAACAAGTAAGCATTATTGCACAGACTGAACTAGTACCCCAATAAATCAAGCCTAACTGCTTCTTCATAATGACCACGTATTCCTATCAAGGCTGCCTGAGCAAACTCTATCTCTTTGTTGTGATTGTTGCTGGACATAATTTCTGTGAAATTCACAAACTGGGCAGTACAAAGCAATTGCCATATTCAGTCAGTTAAAAGGCAATCACAGACACATTTCAGAGTTCAAATACTGCATATATCACAGCATATATACCTGAATGTTATCAACGACTCGATCCGGGATCTTCTTTTTAGCAAATTCCTTCATCATGTTCCAAGGCCCATCTCCAACTCCAATTAAGATAACAAACAAGGGGTATGTACTGCCAAGAAGGTCCATGAGAAAGTAGATAACTATAGAAATTAACAGAATGCACCAAGGAAATTAACAAGTTATTGTTACCTAGCTCGAGCAATTGTGTTCAGTGTCATTTTCTTCTGTGGGTGTCCACTTGGTACCTGTAAATCCAAGTTTCGAAACTATTTCTAGATGTACTGTAACTAGGAGCTGTATGTAATCAGAATTCAAAAGTACCTGACCATCAGTGATTATCAATAAAACATGGTATTGACCACCACTTTTCTCAACCATGGCCATGGCTTTTTCGATAATGGGGGCGAAAGATGTAGGCTCTACCAGAAGGAAAAAAAAAA